AATGAATAAAATCATAGTCAAATGATTGTTTGATAGTGATACTAGGGTATATAATTTTTGATTGATAATATGAGTTATTATGTAATGTAACTGTAATTGAGACTACGAAATGAATGCACAAAAACTGGTAAACCAACCGACACACTGTTTGTATATTTATGAAGGAAAGCTGGATGTTTTTATGTTTTGTTTGTTTGTCTTTAAAAACTAATAAAATTGTTTTCAAAAAAAAAGAAAAGAAAGAATCTTGTGCTTTTAAATAAAATTTGTTAGTGGAAATGTGATTTTGGACTCCTGTTTTTTTTGCCACCATAGACTTAATACAATTTTAGTCCCACAGTATATTTTCCAGCTTGCAACAGAGAGACTATAGAATGAAAATAATTGTCAGGACTGCCACTATCCATTTCCTAGGAAAGAAAAACCTTTGACTCCATGGATTTCATGGAGTGAACTGAATGCAACAATTTTCAGGCAAGATCTGAGGCAAAAGCGCTCGAAGCAGCAAATGGAAACAAACTATAGCACCCAACCCCCTTGAAGCTAGGCAAGTCTGGCTGCTGCATACCAAAGCTAGAGGAAATGACCTTGGAGAGATAAGCAAAGCCCAGACCATAGTTGCAAAGCTGCAATGAACAATTCTCCACTGACCTCTCCCCTGTTTTCCACAGCAGCAAGCAGCAGGCTAGCTGACAATAATGCCATAAGAAAATGCCCTCCTGATACAGTATCAGAAGCTCTTCCTTCCTTCAATGGGGGATGGAAAGGTATGATTGGTGAACAGGCATCCTGGCTATGACAGAACAGTTTGGAAAGGGGGAAGCAATTCTGGGCAAAAAGTATTCCAAATCCACAAGAGCTGTGGCAGGTTCAGGCAAGCTATGGTTTTTGTGTTCCTTGTTCCTTATACTTGCTTGGGCACTAGAGTGGACAATGTGGAATAGCATTAGTCACAGAAATGACATCAGATAATCAAGATTTCTCTCATTCCATCAAGCTCAGGAGTACCTCCTGTTGCAACAGATGTTGGGGATGGAAGAGAAAATCTTGCCTGACTACTAACTTTGCTATGTGAGTAGCAATCGCAAAATAGCACTTAGACTTATATACTGTTCCATAGTGCTTTTACAGCCCTCTCTAAGCAGTTTACAGAGTTAGCAACAATCTGGGTCCTCATTTTACCAATCTGAGAAGGATGGAAGGCTAGGTCAACTTTGAGCGGGTCAGGATTGAACTGACTGTGCGCAGACTTCGCCTGCGATGCTGCATTCTAACCCTTGCGCAACCACCTCTGTAGATGTTGGTACTTATTACTGACAGCTGCAGTAAAGAGAATAATTCAGAAATCGGTGTAAGCTGCAAAGGCCCGCTGGGACAGAAATGACGTTGAACTGAACGTATTGATGCAGATCCCTGTAAAGTTTTGTTTATATTCTGTCTCTAATAGCTTTTGCAGTGCTGTTCATCCAAGCTAAGAAAAGTAGAGAGATATCTCTTAAAAACAAAGGCACTTTCAGTGAAGAACCTAGAAACCTTTTCCTTTTTTGAGCAAGGTACGATACAAAGCTACAAAGCTATTATTGCAGTCAGCATTTTTGGTTGCTTATGATGGTAAATTGGTTGGACCTGCTGTTGGTACCTTTTAACTTGGAACTTTTGGCGCCACGCGGAGCAAGGATTTCCCCCAAATTTGATTTGTCAAAAGACCTACGATTTGTTTGTTTCTCATGGAAATCTCTTCTGGCTTATTAAGACGTGGGACTTCGTCGTTCCGTTCGCTTTTGCCAGCGGGCGTCCCGGTCTGGATTTTTGCTTTATTTGTTTCGACGGTTACTGCTTAGGTTTCTCTCGTCCAAACGCGAGTTTCAGCGAAGTCGGCGTTTATTATTATTTCACTTAGTGCTGGAAGTTACTCATATTTTCATGTAATACAATATCTGCATTTGGGAGAGAGAACGAAAAAAAAAAAGATTAACTCGGGCGGATTGTGGGGGCGGGTCTCCAGTGCAAAACTCTGATCCGCCCCACTCCCACCCGCGCCAAAGCTTATAGATCCCACGGGGCAGAAGCCCAATGCAAACCTCGGGGGGTGAATTTTGTGTCTAGCTGATCCTAGTGGATCCCCCCCCCCAATGTTTTCCCATTTATCTCCTCGCTGGAAAAGCCCCCGGAATAGCTGTGCAACTGGACTAGAAAAACCACCCAGCAGCCCAAGGCAGTAAACGGGGAGGGAGAGAGCGAGAGACATCAGAAGCGATCCTGACCAGCGAACCACCTTTGCCAGGGGCTGCACAACCCTCTCCAGCATGGGGTTATGGTTGCTCGCTTGGGGTACTTGCCTCGCGCTTCCCCAGCTATCCTTCACTGGAAGGGGCAGGTTAGTTGCCGTGTGAGTGTGTGTGTGTGGCGGGGAGGAGGGGGCACGGATTTTCTTCCGGTTCGGCAGCATTCACACGACTCACTGAGTTTAAAATAGCAGCCGCCTATAAGCCTGGAGGTCGTGCGAATCCGGCCAGAAGAGGGGCTGGAGGATTTATTCGCTCGGCTCCACTGCCTTTTCTTGCTTCGCCTTTTCATCAGTCGGGGATGACTCTCATAGGCTTACCTCTCCCTCGGCAGAGCAACTGAGGGACAGGGATGCGGTCTCTGGGAAGTGAAATAAAGTATCTGGGATACTTTACACTTAACTCCCGTGTTGGCGCGGGACGGCAGGAGTCTTATCCAACACAGAGCGACTAGGTTGGGGAATATAGGATGATAGAAAAGTCCTGGGAATATGTGCAGAAAATGTAATATATCCAAGCAACCGCGGCTGATTGACAGCTGAAGTTCGGCTTTTGTCTGGAGAATGTTTCTGAGCATATGGAGAAGGCATTATACAGTAATCATCCCTGAACAACCAAAACCGTCTGGGATGCTGGACTAGGAATTCCTTCTGGAATTGCATTTGAGATAAATCAGGTCTGTCTTTAAAACCAGCTCATAGTTGAAAGGTGCAGGATCCCCACATTAGGATGCAACTGTAAATGGACATTTCCCAGACTTTTAGGATCTCCCCTGCCCCAAACCTGTTGCTTCTTCTTTCCAGAACCCCCCTGCAGGAGAGCTGAGGACTGTTGGTGGAGTGTAAGTATTAGTGCATTTAGGCATTTTGTATTCTTCACTCACTTTCATTCAGCCTAATTTAAATCTGAGTTCAAAGGTACCAAAGCAGTAAATGAATCACACTGACCATTTCTTTCCGAAAGAAAGAAGAATGAGAAAAACCTATGAGTTACATTTGGGACAGAAGTGTGGCTGGCAGAAAAGGGGACATGGGGAGAAATTTCCTATATATCTAGCAGAAGGCTTCTCAATCAGTTGTTAAAGGCATATCAATATTGAATATCATCCTTCCTACTGTGCTTGCAGATGGAAATCCCTTCAAATAGCAACAGTGTGTTTGGGGTTTTTTCTTTTTTACATTTTTTGAAGCATACAATGATTTCATATAAATTTTCATGGCAGAATTGTGAATTGCAATGTTGTTGCACGTATTTAGTGTTCAAGGTGGGTGAGAGTGCACACAAAAATATCCATTCAGTGTACAACACAGTGGCTAATATGAGGATTGGAGTGAGATAAAACTGGTTGGTTGTCACAGTGACATGAAATAGCAAGAATGCTCAGTGGCAGTAAAGATGCTTTGGGAGCCACATAGAAGGTCCTGAGATAAAACCTGATCCCGGTCAAAGATTGCCAAAGTCAGAGACTTTCTGAAGGGTTGATATTAGCTACCCTAAAATCATTTGGCAGTTTCTTAGAAACAGAATAGCTATTTGAATTGAATCAACTTCCTTCCTTCCTTCCTTCCTTCCTTCCTTCCTTCCTTCCTTCCTTCTTTCCTTCCTTCCTGAATAATTTGACCACATGATACCAAAGACTGCTACTTATGAGTAGCAACAGTAGTGATAGATTAGCTTTTGCTGTGGGGGGTGAATTTGTTTGATTCAAATAGCCCACCCAAGAGGAATGCCTGCCTTTTTCTTTTCTAAAAAGATTTATATTGTGTTCTTCAGTTAAAAGGAAAGTTTGTTCATTGGATCTGTGGCTGAATTAATGACATTCATCTTTGGGACATTCCCGTTTTGCTATTATGAAAGTTCATATAAAGTTTACAAAAGCCAATAAGAACTTTTCAGGGTAACTATTCAATGGGAAAGAAGAACTCCAATTAAACAGCATTTCCTCTTAGGAGAGCACCAGAAGAAGACTGGTCCAAATGGAAGAGGAGAGAAGTGACTTAATCTTTTTCTTTTCTTTCATTGATTTCCATCCCTGCAATGAAGTATTTTTAAAATTAGAGATAGTTGCTTCTACCCTGTTGAAAAAGCAGCTACTCAAAGGTGATTTTCAAGTAGAAAATGACCAGAGTTAAACAACAAAAATATCCTTAACTATAATTCCTCTTTTCAGATGTATATCCTATCCAGGTTGCTTTTAACTTAAATAATAAAGAACTTAAATAACAACAAAACTTAAATAACTTTTAGCAACAAAACTTAAATAACTTTTAGCAACAAAACTTAAATAACAACAAAAAACTTAAATAAAATACATAACAATACTCTTTCTAAACCTAATCTCCTGCTTTTTGCATTATTTCACCAAACTTTTTAACAACATATTTAGTTGTAATGTTAAGTTTTGTTAAGTTTCATTTAAATATGCACAGATTGATTTTCCAAGTGTTAACTGGCTTCCAAAATGGCTAAAAAGCATTTTGTTATTACAGCCATGTAATTTGGAATATAGTCCTGGTGTCTTGAATAGATTTCACAGTTTGAAGCACAAGTTGTGATGCTGAAAATGAATTTTGCATGCTAAAAAGTCTTTGTCATTTGTCAAATCCAGCAAAATGAATGTAGGGAAGGCATTATATATATATATTTTAAATACACATTGTTTCAGCATCTTTTACTTAAAAAATACCAGCACTATCAATATGTTATTGCTCCAACATGGATGGTCTGTGAGTACTTGCTTTAAAACTAACTGATTCTGATTTTAAGCAGGATATGGAGGGAAAGGCACACAGAAACTCTGCTCCCTGCTGTTCTTGACATTAGAAAAAAAGTACATCTATTAATCAATAAAAATGAAGCAAGTACTTCCTAAATTGAGGAAGTCTGTTGTGTTCTGTTAAAATATGCAGATTATTATTACTTATAATGGATAAAGTTCAGCTTCAGCAGAATTTCTTATGATGTTATAGCAATATAACCAGACTTCTCAATGGATAGATGGGACATCTGTCCAGAGCATGAGCTTTTGTTAATTCCTTAGCTAGAATTTATGTTCTGTTTTTTGTACATAGGCAGCTGCTGACTGTGAATGAACCTGGGGTCTGTCGTTATGGATCTATGTCTGATTGCTGCTATGGCTGGAAAAGAAATCACAAACAGCGCTGTGAAGGTAACCATACCTACTTTATTGCTCCATTTTTTTTCTATAAAAATATGCCTAAATTTGAATAAATTCAGCTCACTGAGGACCCTGTTTGTCTCGTTGTCAAGTGGACAGTCTATTAGCAGGTTAATTGTCCAAGATTAGAATCATGATGGTGAAACCAACCAAAAAAGAGAGATCAATTTCAAATGGGAACAAATTCCCCCAGTGCACTGATATTGCATGTTACCGATGCTTCCATTCTAAATTTGTGCAAAGATAACTCAGAGGAGAGCACCATTAAAAAGTTGGAAATAATTTCATTTCTGCATGCTTTCTGTACTCTGTTAACCTTTAATACCTGGTCCAAGCCCATAATGGTAGACATTAAGTAAATTCAGTGGAAGATAACTTTTACTTAGGCCACACAGAGTTATTTATAAACAGATGCTTTTCATTAAACAACATAAATTGCCTTCACATTTCCACATAAGTAGAGAATTGATAATTTTGAACTGTTGTAAAAACATTTGAGGATTGTCTGTGCTGGGTCTCTGTTTTAGGCTTCTGGGGAATTAGCTTAACAAAAGCCCATGATTATTTAATGATATCAGTGCTATTATTAATAATAAAAGCATAAATATAGAGAAAGGTTCAAATATTTCTTTGGCTAGATTCTGGCAAGCTACCCAAAGTAATAAAATAGTGACTTTAGGATAATTTATTTCTCAGATGTTACATTTCTTAGATACTGTTTTGAGTAATTTAGAACTGGATTTCCCAATACAGATGAGCAAAGGTTCACATGATAGTTTATATATTTATCAGATGGTTATACAAGGAAGAATACTGCCAAAAAAGTATTTTTCTCTTGAATATCTATTAATGTACGTAGCAGATAGTTGTCATAAGTTAAAGTATTTCCATATGCTGCATGGGGTGATCCTTTATTAATAATGCTTTTTGTTTGTATAAACCTAGTTCAGCTGCTTAAGAATATGGTATGTTGAAAAAGATAACAAATAAAAGTTTTACAAAGCAGCAAGTGAAGCATGAATATTCCTTTTCTTTTTGGACAAAAAGAAAAGAATAATCTACCAGTATTCACTTTTCAAAAGCTTTAAAAATTGTTCTGTCCCCAGATTCCTGGTTTGAGTCAGGTATGATGTTGAACATATGAATTAATATACCAACATTCTTTGGTGTATTTGTTAGCTTTGATCAAGATTTCCTTAAGGTAGGGGTTTTGCTTGTGCTGTTTGTGTAAAATATTGTTAACTAATTTGGAATACAAGATGATTGAAGTCACCAGATAATATTGCTTAATAGATTTCAAAAGAACATAATAATAAGAGACAATTGGTTGAGTTACATTTGGAAAACTTTATAGCTGCCACATATAAAAAACTTTTATGTAATAGCAATAGCACTTAGACTTATATACTGCTTTACAGCCCTCTCTAAGTGATTTACAGAGTCAGCATATTGCCCCCAGTAATCTGGGTCCTCATTTTACCCACCTTGGAAGGATGGAAGGCTGAGTCAACCTTGAGCCTGGTGAGATTCGAACTGCCAAACTGCAAGCAGGCAGCAGAAGTAGCGTGCAGTACTGCACTCTGACCACTCTAACCACTGCACCACCATTACATATTATGAACATAAAGCTCAAATTCTATGTCCAACTATATGACAGATATCGATATGTAAAACATATAGAATTCAGAAAGGAAGTGTAGAAAAATGCTATGTTGTTGAATTGGTCTTGGCTGCGGAGATGACACAGGACCTAAGAAGATATTTTGAGAGAATCACAAGCTTGAAACTGTACCGAGAGGAATAAAGGCAAAAGTGCTTTTGAAACATTTGTTTTCAGGTTCCCTCCTGTTGTATAAATTCATGAATTTCCAGAAAGTATGGTTGGGTTCTGAGCATTACTTCCTCTACTATAGTATGATCTCGCCCCAAAGAAAAGTAGGATATAAAATAACAATTGGAATTCATGAATTGAGAATTATCAGGATTATCAGGCTTGCTTTTGCCAAAGATATTATAAACCCCCTTTGAAAAGACCTACAATAAAAATTAAATTGCATTTAATTATCAAATACCCACCTTTGGCAAGTGTCTTGGCTTAGTTTATATTTTATTCCCATCTATTTCTCCTCTTGTACTTAGCCTTGATGAGGGTTGTAATCATTTACTTCATAGTAATTTATATCTTAAAGTTCTCTAATGCTTAATCAAGTTTGATTCAGAGATATTTTTCAATTTCCTACAGAGGCTAAATGTCTAGAGAATGTTCCCCTGGAAGATGTATGTCCAGACATCAACAAGTAGATTGAGCAGCTGAAAATCAAAACTCTTCTTCTTGTCTATGGATTTTCAGTCATACAGGTTATAGTTGTCTCCAGAATGCTTTTTTCAACAACCGTACTGTTTTCTTAAGGAGGAAGAAGAAGTTTATCATCATCTTTTCCTTCCAATCTGTACCATTCCTTAACTAATATTTATCCTCCTCCTCAGTGGTAGGATTCAAATAGTTTAACAACCAGTTCTCTGCCCTAATGAGTTCTTCCAACAACTAGTTCGCCAAACTGCTCAGAAAGTTAACAACCGGTTATCCCGAAGTGGTACGAACTGGCTGAATCCCATCCCTCCCCCTCCTCCAAAAATTGAATTGTACAAGAAAATCTATAGAAAGAGAGAGTCCTAATATCAGTAGTTTGATATCTACAATAAAGAGCACTTATCAGAAGAACTTGTTGAAACACATCCTTCTCTTAGTATATAAAAACTCAAGGCAATGCTCTATTCTGTTTCCTATTTACAGTTGATATACTGGAATATGGAAAAATCTCTCAACATATTTTTACCATTCATGCTGATCTTTAGTCAATTTGGAGATTTTTTAGTTCAATCAAAGTGAACATTTCAAGCTCCAACTTTTTTACTTTTCTACAATAATCCATGCTATTCTTTCAAACTCTATAAGATATTTGAAATTAATTTCACAAAGAGACTTTGGATTCTGCCTACATGCCCTTTGTCAGCAGGATGACTCTCCAAAAACAAAATGCAAAATGGGGCCAAACTTGGTACTGGGAAAAGCAAGATTGGGTTTGAAAATGGGTTGAATTCAGTTGGAAGCTGCAGGGGAAAAATGAAAAAAAAAATCCCATTAAGTTTCAATGGGACAGGCAGGGGGCAACAGCTTAGAACAGTATTTTTCAACCTTGGCAGCTTCAGGTATGTGGACTTCAATCCCGAAAGTTGAAACCCACACATCTTAAAAATATCAAGGTTGATAAACACTGGCTTTGAATGTTGTTGATTGTTCCACTCCGAGCAATGCTTCTTTCAGAGTGGAACAATTATTAATGCATTGGAAAGGATTTCTGAAGCCAGGATATGCCAACTTTTCTAATTTACTTTAGTGCTACTACATCCAAATCCCTAGAAATTATCTCAAGTTTATTCAGTTTCTGTCTTTATGATTCATTTCTTTTCCCTTTCTCACATTCCTTTCGCAGCTATCTGTGTAGATGGATGCAAATATGGTGAATGTGTGTTGCCAGATACATGTAAGTGTTACCCTGGATACACAGGGAAAACCTGCAACCAAGGTAAACTGATGCTTTTTCTTGTAAACAATATATTTTCAACCAATATAGCCTTTCTACTATTTCATCTATTTAGGATGAGCATTTATAGTAAAAAGTGTGAAATGCAAAGAGAGCTTTTGAATTCCTTTCCTCAGGAGTTTCTTGTCTACTGAATTCTATATCATTTTACTTAGAAATATTGCATAGCTTACCTAGTATTTTATTAAAAATTATAATCAAATGACTGATTAAATTGAATAAGTCAGTGTGGAAGAATAAATGTAGATGTGATAATATAAAGTATAACACTATTAGATGATAGTAGTGTACTATTTTTAATGATCCGTAGATAAACAACACAATGGCATTCAGCCTAAGCGCATTGAGGTGCTCATGGTTGTTAGGAAAACAGTGAGGAAAAGATTCCACCCACCCACCCACCCCACTGCCTGTTATTTCCAGGTTTAGCACTTCTTCTGAATTATTTTCACCTCAGTTTTCACTTTGATATTTAGTATCTTAAACTATCATTTATGTGGCTAGCATTCATTCAGAAAGCAAAATATTACATTTTGTGTGTTTTATTTTATATGCAAGCAAACTGGGCCATCTTCTGATGATTGGAAAACATTCAAATGGGATACACCATCCTGATCCTTCATTCCATGGAGAAAACAGTACAAAACAATAATTTGTATTCAGTCAATGACCAACGAAACAAAAAGATTAAATGAGAAATATCTAATTTTGAAGAATGTTTGCATTAACCATAAGAAAAGTGTGTAGATTATGAAGAAATTAAATTATATCTTTAACCCGGCCCAAAGGATCATACAAAATGTATTCCTCCTATCTTGCAGAGATGCCTGCCTCTAGCAATGTCATTCTCCCATCAGCGACAGCTGTTGGCTTTAACCCCCAAAGCTTCCTGGGCACTTTTGTTGGCACAGGTGCTTGTACTCTTTCTTCTTCAAATATTCTGGGTTGAGTCACATACAAGCTTTCCATTGTAATGCTGCACTTGTACACAGCCCTAAAGCAAAGTTTTTTTTAAAGGTTAGATGGTTCTTCTTTTACCATATGAGATTGTCATTTCTATAATTCTGCTATTTAAAATCTGAGCTTTCTATAATGACTTTGGCTCCTGTATCTAATAGATACATTACATCCAATATGTCTATTCCATGTCAAAAATAAGGCATTATATATTAAGAAATCTGGGCATAGCTAATATTCTTTTTAACATGTCACTATATGCTTAATGAGCTCTTCTAGCTTGCAGAGCCATCAAAACATAGACACAGAGGTTGATGTCATAGACCCTATTCCAGCTGAAATCCTAACAGGATCTATAGCATTGGGGAATGACTGCACTGGAAATTAATTAATGTAACAGATTGCGTTCCCTTCCTCCAAAATCCTGACAAACTCTTTAAGGATAACAGATTCACAAGTGATAAAATCAGCAACAAACACACTGTTTCCCAAAGCTTCCCAGGGTTCTTCCTTGTTTCCAATTCAATCCCCTCTTCCATGACGTTTTTATGAGAGGCAAGAGGTAGTGGTGGGGAGAAGATATGCTGATTGCAGGCACCTTCATTCATATATGTTCAAATCTTCTTTCGGTTCACAATTTTTTGCCTTTGTCTTTATTTTTGCTCTGCTGTGAATTGCATAGCATCCATAAAGGGTGGTCTAGAAATACTGTAAAATTATATAGAGATATAAATATACATGTAGGTGTTTACATGTGTTTGGGATATGTGTATAAATCAACTAAATTATTATATTCCTAATCTTCACTGTCATTATATTGAGTTCTTCACATCTAGTTTTAGCCAAAGAAACATTTGTTTTCAGAAAGTCAGATCATGGATCTTCAAAACAGCATTATGTTTAAGATCTTCCATTCCATTGAGTATGGAGGAAGAGAGATAAACACATTCATAGCTTTGGCTGAATCTCTCTGCAAATTGTTCTGTCAAATACAAGTCTCCTGCAGTGACATTTTACTAGTGCAAATGGGTGTTTTAAATCAAGATCACCAAGCTTACCATTTAAATCAATATATTTAGCATACTATTGAAAAGAAATTATTTAATTTCCATTTTAATATATTTTCTGAATATACTAGCTGAATATACTGTTTGTAATTATAGTTAAACATACTAGTAACATTTTCTGATACAAATTTAAGACTTAAATCACAACCCGATGTATATTTATTTCCCTCCATAGATGTCCAAACTCAATTATTATAATTATTTTTGCAGATATTAATGAATGTGGATTAAAGCCATATGTTTGCAAACACAGATGCATGAACACTCATGGAAGCTACAAATGCTATTGTTTAAATGGGTACATGCTCATGCCAGATGGCACCTGTGCCAGTAAGTGTCAATATTAACTTGAGACTTGGGAGTTAAATCTATGTTGCAGGTATTATGTGAAAATGACTGTGATGGCAGTGTTGGTGCTGTTACAAGTTATTTAATTTGTACCTTTAGGAGGCAAATCACGGACTTATTTCGTTAGTTCTGCTCATTTTCCACTGCTTATAGAGAAATCATGCTATGCTAAATCTGACATTTTAACAGTCTTCAAAAGCATTTCCTGTCAGCTTGAGAGAAGGAAAAAATAAATGTGGGGTTTTGAACATATTTTTAACTATCTGATCTTGCCATTTTTTTCCACTTTAATGTACTTTTACCGTAGAAATGAGAAAAATTAGGAAGGAATAAAGCACAATGTTTGAACCAATTATTGGCTTTTAATAAATTTTGAAAATGAAACATAAGCCAAATAAATGCTCACTAAATTATTTGTGGTACCAACAGGTTTTTATTAGTAATTTTACTTTTATTTTACTTTACTTTTCTTAGATAGTGACAGAAAAGTTGTTTTTTCTCATGGATCTAAATGAAACATGAAACAAAACGCTGCAGGATGAAATATCAGGTGGGCTTTCAAAGGCATGCAGGGGGGAAAAGTATAGAGAGAGATGAGTTGCCATGGCAACCAGGGAATGTTACGATCCCTAATGCTATCTAAATAACATATTGAATGGCTGTAATGTAAAAAAAACTGTATCAACATATCTAATTCAGCGTTAAATTTGAGAAATCATAAAAGCGGCAGTTATACAGATCAGTAAATTCAGTGTAGCAAATAAAGGGGTGACTAAAAATAGCTTTCAAACAGAAAGAACAGAAAAATCTAATAAAATAGCAATAGCTCTTGACTTATATACTGCTTCATAGTGCTTTACAGCCCTCTCTAAGAGGTTTACAGAGTCAGCATATTGCCCCCAAATGATGGAAGGCTGAGTCCACCTTCAGCTGGTCGGGATCAAACTTCTGACAATAAACAGTCAGCCTGCAATTCTGCATTCTAACTACCGTATCACCATGCCATCAAAGCGGTATTCATGTGATGCTATAAAAACAAATCAAAATCAACCTGCAGCAGTTTTCTAGATGGAGCGCTTTGTGCATCTGATGGCATGACAAAAAAAGACTTTATCCTTCAATCTTACTTGCCTAACTTCATGTACAACAACACCGTTCACTGTAAGATTCAGATAATGTGCTTCTGGTACATATCAGGTAAAGTGGTTCAGGTACATAACAATCCATGTAGGATTGGTAGGTCACCACAATTTTGTATTGTGCCTAGAGCCTTCTAGCTATCTAAAAATTAAAAATACCGTTATTTTGAAGCCTTTATCAGTGTGAGCTAACTAACAAAAGTTTGTGTCCTTTTGATAATAGAAATGGCAAGAGTCAAAATAGCAATTAAAAGATGAAATGATGCTGATTTGTGCATCCCAATGTCTTTGTATTAAACAGACTTTAAAATACTCCTTTTAATAAGCATAATTTTCTAAACTAGGTATTTCTAGTTATGTAGGTTTTGACAAATAATATGTTTTAAAAGATTCCAAAACATGCACTATGGTGAATTGCCAGTATGGTTGTGAAGAAGTGAAAGATGATGTGCGATGCTTGTGTCCGTCAAGTGGTCTTCAGTTAGCACCAAATGGAAAAACCTGCATAGGTATGTATGTTGTTTTAATGTTCTTGATATTATTATTCCAAACATTTCTCAAAGTCTGGCATGTGCTTCATATAAACATTGAAGAAATAGCAACTTTAATTCTAGAATAAATATTAAAGAATATCCCTAGCGTGCACATCCCAAGTATATGTAGCATACTGATGCTCTTGGTTGGTGAAATGCAGGCAGCTGTGATGACCCGTAGTCTCTCAAAATAACCCCAAACCCAAAACATACATTAAAGTCTGGTAAGGCCTTCAGCTTAACTTCACTGTTTTATTAGGTACAGTTTAAAGTCACAAAAGTAAATAATGAGGCAAAAAGAAAACCAAAACAAACCGCATTGATGAGAGTTCCGAAGCAAGCCAAGATAACTTATCATAAACTCCAGGAACATAACCGAGGAGAGTCCATGGGAAGAACGCCAGCAAAGATAAACCTCTTTCAAAGTAAACGCTAAACTTTGACTCCAGCAATTCTGACTGCACAGTTCCAAACTTATATACATAGCTCCCAGCTGCAAGTCACGAGGAGGATCATGGTAATCTCCTCTTGAGTAGACCTCGCTTTTCCATCCCTGCGTGACCTAGGATGGATAGGGGATGGGCCTGGATCCTCCTCTGACTGCTCAGCTGGCCTCTGCCCTTCCCCAGCCTCCTCCACCACCTCTGGAGCCACACTCCCACTCCCTGTTGGCTGTTCCTCCTCTTCCTCAGAATCACTCTCTACCAGGGGCATGACACTATCCCCCCCGCAGGGCCTCCTCCCCTGGGACCAGACGGACGAGGACGTTGAGGAAACTGAGCATGAAAGTCCTGCACCAAACGAGGAGCACGAACATCAGTGGCATCGACCCAGGTGAAGTCCTCTGGTCCATAACCTTTCCATGCCACCAAATACTGAAATCAACCTCGCAACTGGCGTGAATCTCAGATGCTATCCACTTCGTACTCCTCCTCTCCTAGAGGGGCTACTGGGGCCAGCTGTGATGGAGCCGGTCTATGCGGACTATCGGCCGAGGCAGGGACTAACAGGGAACAATAAAAAACAGGATGGATACACATGGTCTGTGGCAGGGAGAGACGATAAGCCACAGGTTTGATCACCGCCTCGACCGGAAAAGGTCCCAAGTAACGGTGATCGAGTTTTTTTGATGATCGCATCATTGGTAAGTATCAAGTACAGAGCCAAACCCGATCGCCTATCGCTAAAGGCGAAACATCATGACGATGTCAGTCTGCAAACCGTTTATAGTCTTTCTTGGCTCTCTCTAGTTGATCGCGGACCATGTGGTGCATGGCTTTTAACTCCTGCAAGAACATATCCACTGCCGGAACTGGAGAATCAGATGGGGCTAAAGGGAAAAGTCGTGGATGAAACCCATAGTTAGCAAAGAAAGGGGACACACGGGTGGATGCATGTTGAGCATTGTTATAAGTGAATTCTGCCACCGGCAGCACTTCCACCCAATTGTCTTGAGTATTGCTGAAACAGTGGAGGTACTGCTCCAAAATAGCATTCACTCTCTCTGTCCCCCCATCAGTTTTGGGGTGATGAGCAGACACGCCTGAACCTGCAGTTTCGCGAGTAGGGTCTGCCAGAAGCGTGCCGTAAATTGTACCCCCCGATCTGATACCATGCGGTCTGGTAACCCAGTGGTCCCCAACCTTTTTTGTACCAGGGACCGGTTTCAAGCAGAAAATTTTTGCAAGGACCGGGGGGGGGAGGGGGGG